TAGCAAACTAGCTATTGCACCCACTCTCTGCTGCTGCCAATCAGCAGAGGGGGACCTGAAGTTCTCCATCAGGTCCCCACTACTGATTGACAGCAGCAGAGGGCGGGTGCAATAGCTAGTTTGCTATTGGCTATTGCAAAGTGAAATATCCAATAGGAATCTAGCTATGCATTCCTAGGGTGTTTGGTTTTTTTTTGTTGTTTTTTTTATTCTGATGGCGTACACCAGTGGTTCTCCACCTGTGGGTCGCTGTGTGATTTCTGCTGTCATAGGTGAGAGCCCTCCTCAGCCCTCTCCTAGCGCAGCAGTGTCAGTTCTCCCGCCAGATGTCGCTGCAGCAGCCGTGTCATTCCTAAATTTTATCGGTGGGGGTCACCACAACTTGGCAAATGTTACCAAGGGGTCCCGGCCCTAGAAAGGTTGAGAACCACTGTACTAGATGCTTGGCTGCCTTACTTTGAGTCACTGACCTGGGAGAAGCAGCTAGTAAAATCAGAATGAAGTCATAATTCTTTATCTGCATACTTGTTCCCAGTCAGTTACTGAAATTAAGCCCAGGAGATCAATATGACAGCCATGCAAGGAGTATAGTTAAAGGAGAAGTCAGGAATGGCAGTCTACATGCGTCTCTCCGTACAAGTCTCTTTCAAACTGATCTTAAAGTCAAAATGTTTTTAAGCTATTTCAAATGCTAATTAAATCACTTGCATTGCATTCTGCTCATTGGTGATTAAAAGCTTTTTAGCTCACTGCAGAATCCGCTGATCCACTGAGCACTGATCCTGATATCCTGTTTTAGGGTTGGCTCTTTCCCTTACCGGGTCCTATGGAGCCATCCTTGTGTCGTGTGTACTAGTAAACTGTGTATGTCTCAACACACAGGCGCACCAAGTAAAACCACTCCCCTTTCCTCCTTCCTCCTCATCCAAGCTAGCAAACAGACAGCTGCTTTAGACAGCTCTGTCCCTTGTGAACTTTCACTGGGCAGGAAGTTCAGGGAAGCGTAGTTGGGGCAGCGGTTTGTAAACAGGGTGCAGGTTTGTCAGGAGGAAGCCCAACCTCCTTAAAGGCACAGCAACACACAAGGGATCCCGCACAACCCAATGGCAGCTGAGAACCCCCATGCATCAGTGCACGAAATCGGTCAAGCAAAACAAATGACATACGCACTCAACAATTTGTCACCAGCTATACAGTAAGGTGCACACGAAATGGGCTTTGAACAGTCAAACAGTAGAAAGGTATCATGGAACACTCACAAACCAGCATGTAAAACAACTTGTCTCACCACTAAGGTCAATAACAGAGGTTTGGATACACGTCTTCTGCAGAAAATGTGAAAGCCGCACACCCGCGCCAAGGCACCTCTTATAGTGCGGTCCTAACTCTATACTATGAGAGTCTCCATCTTGGGGGCAGAAGATTTCAAATTGGGTGCAGGGGGTTCTCAGCTGCCATTGGGATGTGCAGGATCCCTTGTGTGTTCCTGTGCCTTTTTAAGGAGGTTGGGCTTCCTCCTGACAAACCTGCACCCAATTTGAAATCTTCTGCCCCCAAGATGGAGACTCTCATAGTATAGAGTTAGGACCGCACTATAAGAGGTGCCTTGGCGCGGGTGTGCGGCTTTCACATTTTCTGCAGAAGACGTGTATCCAAACCTCTGTTATTGACCTTAGTGGTGAGACAAGTTGTTTTACATGCTGGTTTGTGAGTGTTCCATGATACCTTTCTACTGTTTGACTGTTCAAAGCCCATTTCGTGTGCACCTTACTGTATAGCTGGTGACAAATTGTTGAGTGCGTTTTGCCATTTGTTTTGCTTGAAGTTGCTGAGGGCCAGACCATTATAAATGGGGAATCAGGTTGTTTACCATGACAGTAGAAGTGATTTTTTTTTCCTGAAGATATGGGTAAACAACGCGATTTAACAGCCTTTGAACGTGGGATGATTGTTGGCGTGGAGCCATGGAGCGAGTGTTTAAGCAAAATGGCAGAATTCGTTAAATGTTCAAGAGCAGCTGTTGTTAAAGTGTTTAAAGACTGGACTGTCAGCCGAAAATCTGGGTCTGAACGTGCGAATTGTAGCCGTCAGCGACTAGTCTTTGTTAGGGCAGAACGGAGAGTGGCAAGGCCGGTACAAGACAACAGACGGGCAACAGTGCAGTGTCAGATTCCTGGAGTCACGAGGCGGCCCAACAAAGTCATCTCGTGGCCCAACGAAGTACTGATGGGGTGGTCATAATAATCTGGCCACTCAGTGTGATATATAGCGATATATAGATAGATATATAGATAGATATATAGATAGATATATAGATAGATATATAGATATATAGATATAGAGATATAGATATATAGATATATAGATATAGATATATAGATATAGATATATAGATATAGATATATAGATATAGATATATATGAGAGAGATCTCCTGGATTCATTTTTTTAAAGTAGAAACCAATTATAGTGGTATGTTATTAATGAACATAATGTATTTTTTTCTTCTTTTCAACGGGGTTATTGGTCCTTTGGTACAGCCATGTATTTTTGGCTGCATAATGACGACTGTATCCTGTCAGCATATTTATAGATCAGATGAGCTGGCATCATCTGTGTTTTTATTAGAGAAACCACTTAGCTCTGAACTTGACATACCAGCTCTGTGTAATCTTCTTCTAGGAGTCCACCGAAATGATGTAGGAAAAAACAAAGCCAAAGAAAGAGGGAGGCTGTTTTTAAATAGCTGCTGAACGTTGTCCACCCACTGTTTTATTTCTGTAATATAATTATTCCTATGACTGAAGCATGATGCACTATTTACTGGTTCTAAAAATAAGCCAAGAACTATTTAAAACAATGTATAAGAGGGACCATCGTTGAAAGGAAGCCGGAGTAACCCTTGTTATGTCTTCATGTTCTAAGAATTATTCTTCACATTTATTAAAATATTTATCTTTCAGGACTAGGTTTTTCTCTATTCAGCTATACATGGCTGCAGGAATAGAAAGTTTACAGAATTCACATTTAATGGTCTTTATAAAGTCAAGAAATTCTAAGCAAGCCTTCTTTTTCCTGTTTAAGTTTGCAAAGCCTATGGATAATGGGGTGTCTATCTCATTTTCCTTTACTTGGGGGATGCACACTTCGTTATTTAGTGATTTTTTTTTTTCCCAATGTTGTGGTCCGATAGTACCATTGCTGGTTTTCATTCCTTATGATTTCCTATTTTGAATGATTTTGGTATTTTTTTTTTTTTTTTTT